TTTCTGTCGTTGACCTACGAACTTGTGGTGGACTTCACCACATTTATTTAACTTAGATTAGAAAACCAAACTGTTGTGAAGAAAAAGAGGATAAGCCAAAGACATCATTACACATAAAATTTGTATTTAACAAGATGTACAAACAAGGATGTGAAAGAAAAGCATGCATTGAGTAAAACAAGAGTTGTCTCTCTTTAACTATCAATTGTTCCAAAGTTCCTTGAAAGAAATATGGTTGTCATAGTCTCTGGTAATAAATCTCTTCAACAGTTTTGCTGTGTAAGATAAAAATGTTATGTGAGTATAGGGAATATTCAGCATTTGAGTGGTGGTGTGAGTGAAAAGATTGGCACATGGTTCAACTGTCATGGATTTCTGTGGCAGCTGAGAACTCACTGGTTTACTAAGAATTTTCTTTGCTTATATAGGTGATCATCGGCTCTGAATGCACTGTGTGGGAAGAATCACTCTTCACGTGCAGACAATCTGATTGGTTGGCATTGACCAATCAGTGAGAGAGCTTTGGGGAAACTCACAAAAATCTTAGTTATACTCATAGCGATTCCTCTACTGTGAAAGGACTGTTTGAGTTTCTCTGACATGAAAGTGGAACCCCTGTCCGAGTACATAAATGCAGGTATGCCAAAAAGAGAGAAAAGCTCAAACAAACATTTGATGATGGTCGAAGCTGATATGTTGGGGCAGGTTTAGCACCCTGCTACCACTTTTTTATGTTGATTTTTGTGCAAATCTGTGCAAAAAGTGGATCACAGGGCTTATCCAGCTTCATACATATTTTCAGAAAACTTTGATTCTAATTGGTCAATAAACACACAAGTGGGCATTACAATCCACCCACGTACAAATCTTTTTCCAGCACATGACCAAGTCAAAATTTCCTGCTTCTTTCCTCAGGAGCCGATCACGTGATTATATTGATTATAAATACCAGAAACGAGTTTGTTCTCTCTCTCTCTCTCGATTTCACCTGCTTACGAAAATGTAGCTGTTAAAGAAATCGCGTTCCGACCTCAGTTCGGATGGACACTATGAAAACATATTCACACACACACACACACACACACATAAATGTACATACAAAACTTAATTACAAACATTACAAGCTAACATATTACAAACTTTCAACTAATCAACATATATGCAAACTTTCAACTCTTTCACAGTGAGACAAAAGAAAAGTCAACCATACACATTGTTGCCATGTTAATGAAATTTAACTTGGATATTACAGTTCTTCCCAATTCTTCACCAGCAAGAAATTACTTAAAGTAAAAGATTTTTCCTGAAGCTACAAGTTTAGTGAACACATTTTCAGCTCTTCAGGACATAATTCAAGAAACTTTCTCATTCAGTTGATGAACACTTTCTTTTACGGCAAGACTTATCGTAATTATTTTCAGAAGTACAAAAACTAAATTTTATTTAGTACCAAACAAACTTCCTGAAACATCAAATAAATATTCAAAGTTCTATTTTACCAAATACATTCTCATAGTGAACATTTTGAGCGGCAAATTCATTCAACTTTTTATGAGCTCAGATAAAAAATATTTCGTTAATAAAGACTTTAATTCCAGTCAAAGGGAAGTAACCTCTGTGCCCTTTATAATCTATACTAAGCCTAGAATCTAGGCTTACACTGGGAAGTCACTTTCTTGACATCATCTACCAAAAAAGGTAGGTTCCTTGATTTCACAAAGTATGTCATCTGGGTTACATCTGGGATGACATAGATTGCAATGTAGCTCAGCTAAGTCCGGAGCTTGAGTTGTCACAGTGCAATACTGCATTCTTGATAAGGTATCTACTCCTGCATTTATTTTTTTTATCTGGTTGGTACACAATGTTATATTTAAATGATGTTAACTCCAGCCTCCAATGTTGGATCTTTTCATTTTTAACTTTTCCCTTATGCTGACCATCAAACATAAACATGACAGATCTCTCATTCATGATGAGTTTGAAATGATTCCCCAGTAAGTAATGTCTCTATTTCTTTAGAGGCTCCTTTCAATGAAGAAATGGTGCTTCTCACTCAGCGAAATCATTCTTGAGAAGAAGACTACTGGTCTCCCATTCTGGTTAAGAGTAGCAGAAATAGCAACATCAGATGCATCTGTCTCAGCAACTAGTGGACACTTAGGATCAAAGGTTAACAAAACTGCACTCTCCAGTTTTTTCTTGAGTGTCTTAAAGCAGTTTTCTACATTTTTTATTAGGGGAAATATCCTGTTGTGTATGAGTGGGTAGGCTTTCTTTGAAAATTTTGATATCCATTGAGAGTAGTTTGGTGAACATTCCCATCACTCATTGTTGTAACTTGAGGTAAACATGGTGGTACCTTTTCTTTTAGGGGCTTCAATTTTTCAGGGTCAGGTTTGATTTTTTCCTTTGAGATTTTGAATCCTAGCAATTGGATAACAGTTGCTGAAAAGATGCTTTTGTTATCATTGAACATTATGCTATACTCTTTAGCAGCTTGGAGGAACTTTTTGAAATTCTCATTATGTTTGTCCTTGTCTTTACCACACACAGTGATATTATTGACAGAAGCGAAAGTATCTAAGTTTTTCAGTGTCAATAATATCATCAATGACTCTCTGAAAACAAGCTACTCCATTTGTCACTCTGAATGGCACTCAGCAGAATTGGTAAAGATTGCCACATGCCTCAAAGGTAGTGTAGAGCTTTTCTTGATGGTAATTTGGTGATATGCACCCTACAGATCTAATGTACTTTTCGGGATAAGCATCTAATTATGTGTATTTGTTGATTGTCTGGCTGTATAATTTATTACTATTCTTTTTTTTATGGCATTCATTAGTAGTAATGATTACCTGAACCCTCCAAGAGGATTAAAAAGGTTCAGTGACATTTTCTTGTACAAGTAGTTGCATCTCTGAAGAGATGAATTTCTCATCTTCTGGTAAACGGCGACAAAACTTATTTGTTATTGGTTTGCAATCCAGTGCCAAGTTCTGAAATAGCATAGGTTTTACTATTTTAGCTGGAGCTAGATTACACACAGAAAATGGAGCTCAAGTACTGTTGAAGGGAAAGATTAGCACTTTGCAAGTTTGTTTTGAAATTTTCATATTCTGTACTAATGTTTGTTTCTTATTATATTATATTATTATTTCTGGTTATTCAATTATTCTCATCTGAAGGTTATGTCACAGTTTCTTCATTCTTTAAATTCAGTTTACTAAATAATTTTTGGAAAAGCTGAAAAATGAATGAAAGGGTTTGTATTTACAATGGAATTATAGAATTGACAGCAACTGTTAGAAACTAAAAAAATAGAAATAACAGTTCATGTCTCGGAAGCATTAGAAATTTTAACCAACAAACATTTTAAAATCTTTTTTAATATTTAAAAGAAAATCTTGCATAGTTTAACATACATAGCTACAAAAATATGGTGTGTCAAAAGGACAGTTTTTCACTTGACACCGTTAATACTGTATACTCCCTCGGCAATTTTTACTGTTTTAAAAAACTATTTTTAGAATTTTAATAAAACCCAAACATATAAAACTAGGTTTATGGCAGAATACGCAATTTATCTATAAATGGTGTACTGTAAAGTCATAAGAATCCAGGAAAAAATACTTTAAAATACTTAATTTAACTTAAATAAATGATTTTATCAAAAAAGTATATATTTTTACACCAACCTGAAATCTTTGCCAACAAATAATCAACAGTTAATTAGCATTATGTTTAATTATTTGATTGTGCATGTTTAAAGTTTAATATAGTTGCTCATTTATATTAGTAAAATGAAAAATACATATACCATAAATATTTTTGTCAACCAAGGTCCAAAAATTAATAGATATAACTTAGATCTTAGCCAAAAATAATGAAAACTCAACAATCATCTTAAATTTAAAATAACACTTTCTTTCAAGTGTTATGACAATAACAAAACACCTAGGTAAAAGGTAGCATCCAATTAATTAGTAGTTTGTATCTTTTCAGTTTTTAATGTGTAGAATTTAAATTTGTCACTCCAGTGAGGTAATTTCATAGCTTTAAAATTACTGAGCCAAAAAAAAAGAGGTTAAGTCTGTAATAAATTATAGGATAGGGTTAATTCTTGAAAAATCATTTACAGCTTTGATTTATAAATTAATTTATTAATGCATAGCACATAAGAGCTTTACCAATGGATGAGTTGGTGGCTATGCATTCAATCATGGTGTTACTACACCATGATTGAATGCATAGCCACCAACAAGTTTCTGTGAATTATACTATTGTTGCTTTTGATGCTCTAACATATATTATTAGAGATTTCGGAAAAAAAAGAAATTAATTAAAAATACGGCATTTTGCTATTCTGCTTAGTCATTTTCTTTTACAAAACAATAACATGTTTTTTCGTAGTTAATTTTTAAAGTATTTTTAATTTCAGGATGGGATGAATTAAATGTTAAAAACTTTACTCTTACACTTTCCTTTAAAGATACTTTTTAAACTACAATATATCATAATTTACTAATTTTCTATAATTAGAAAGGGATAAAAATTAATGAAATTTTAATTTCTTTTGTAAAAACTGCCTCGGAATTTCATAATTAAAGGGCGTATAATCATTGTTTTTTCATTTGCTTTTCTGAGGTTATCCTACTTTTTAAAGATTTTTTTTTATGATCAACTTTAATATACATTTCCATGAGAGCTAATTGGATATTTTTAGGAATGACAATTTTTCGTTCAATTTTGTGTAAAAACTGACATGCAGTTTTTTTTTTGTTTTTTTTTTGCATTTATTAAAAATTTTATATTTAATTTTTACTGTAGGTGCAGTTTAACTTAAGCCTTAAATCTTATGATAATAACTTGAATTAGCTCATCAATTTTTGTTGTTTAATTCATAATTATAAAAAAAAAAAAAAAATGGATGTAAAAAAGTAAGATGAGATAAAAGTTTTCATGTTTTTCAGTTATTCGGAACTTTGTTTTTCGTGAATATGTTTGATAACTCACCGTACAACATGGCGGGCAAGTCGAAGTTCCGAATTCCTTCTTTAAAAGAAATGGAAAAACCTGATGATAAGGTCTGACAAAAATCGCTTGATTTTATATAAGCTTATTTAGAACAACAAAACATGTCGATAGTAATCGAAAAATGTGTTTCCTTTTCAAACTGATTTATTACAATTCATCACCCATAACGACGATCAGGATTTTTTACTAATCAATTCATTTTTTAACTTATATAACAAACATAAATTAAATTTGACTATTCCAAAGAGATCCGTGACAATTTTTCGACTCGGTATCTTGTTTTTTAATTAGAGCATTATATAATTTTAATTTCACTTTATCATAAGTAAACAAAAAAATCCCATTTTTATAAGAAGAAAGAAACAAACTGATGCTCACTTATTTTTCAAAATAAAATTTTTAATCCCCGTGTTTCTTTCAAAAAGGGACCACAATAAAAACGTTCTTTCGTATTACTAAAGAAATAAACAAAGCTAAAGCAAAAAAATCAAACAATCTTTCAACTAAGCAGTGTTTCTCGCAAATAAAAAAAACAAAACAACTTTTTTTCCTTTTATTTAGTAATTATCTTTCATATTCTAATAAAACTTGCCTCGCCGTAGTTATTTATTTGTTACTTTTAATGATTTTTGACGGCTAAATTCCAGTTGTTTATTCAGAAAAAAAAAATAATCCAAACTTTAATTTTAGAAAATTAAATTTGAATCCATTCAAAAGTATATCTGTCAACACAAAATGAGAATAAAATGTTACAGAAATAGACCTTCACTAAGTATTGAAGTAAAAAAAAAAAAAAAGAAGTTAAACAGGGTATGCCATTTGAAACGTATTGGACATACCAAATGCTTAATTGCCTCCCTTAGATTGCTTTACCTGGCTTCATATTCTGGTAACACATTTTTTCCAAAAAATATGAAATAATTCAATTTTTGTGACCAATAGTTAAAATTTTGTAAACTTTAATGAACACCATATTTCGAAAACATTTTTTTCTAAAATAAATAATAAAAATGAATATAAATCGACTCATCTTTTAAATTATAATTAATTAAATTATTTCATTTGTTCCGACATTATTTTTCGTTTATTTCTAATAAATTCTGATTTATTTTCACAATCCAAAGAAGATAGGTTTGGTTTTATAAAATTTTTTAAAATGTATTTTTTCAGTTTCTTCTTCGTTTTAAAATAATAAAAAAATAATAAAAAAATAATTTGGTCTACTACTCTTTCTTTCCTCACATAAACTAAAAACATTTTGATTTGACGATAAAACTTCGTTTTTATTGAGTTTTTGTTGGACCTTTTTTCATCATGCTGTTTTTTTTTTTCAGCGAAAAAGTGGATAAATATCTATCAGGACGTGGGTGATCATGACTCTCTACGACTTCCTGTTTTTTTGTTTTGCCGTCTACTCTGTCCTTATTCTGCCATTCATTTGACTCAAACAGAGGTATCTCCACTAATTCGCTAAAAAAGACCATACCCTGATGAAAAAAGACCCCAAATTTAACGAAAATAATTTTTAAAAAATGTTTGTTGTTATTAAGAGAAAAGACCAAAGTATTTTTTGATTATTTTTTTTAACATTTTTTTTAATCCTTACTTTACTAGCACGTCCGAAATTTTAGTTAAAAAGTCATACTTTCTGTATGTTCTCTTGTTTATGTATTTTTATTTTAAGTTAAAATAATTTCAGCTGTCTCTTTCTAATTGTTAGCAACGTTAGGTTTTCTTGTAGTTCCAATTTTCCTTAAAACCTCCTAATTAGTAAATTACTCACGTTTGTTTTGTTCATTGTATTCTCCGCATTTATTGGTAGAATCACGTCTCTTGTCACTTTTTTGTCACTCTCTTCTTCTTCATCTTAGAAGAAATTGATCAACAATTCACTGCCATAGGCGATTAGATGTTTACATAGCAGTTCAGAAACTTTTCTTTGTAAGGACATTTTCCTACCTCTTATACTTAATTTCTGAAAGTTATCTTTTGCTATTCCAATATGCCTTCAGATTTCTGTGTTATTTTCCCATCATCTATGCACATGTAACTTGATGTAACTGTAAGTTTTTTGCTAACAGTTTCTTTTTTTTTTTCTTCTTGTATGTCTCACCTGTTGAATGAACTCTTTTCTGGCTTCTTGCTTTCCAACCAACTTTGATCTTTAAAAATTTAAATGTAATCTCATTTATGTTATTAGTCATGTTATTTATTATCTTCTCATTTCCCCTTTTATTGTTATCTCGCTCCTTAATGTTTTTCTTTTTTTTTTTATTCTTTCACACTCAATAACCCCTTGTGTCTTACTGGGTTTATTGCCTTTCTTGGGGTGAAATGATTAAAAGAAAATCCATTGCTACACTATCCAGATAGTTAAATTTTTGCACCTACTTTTTTTTTTATGTCTCCAATTTGTAGATCACAACTTGCGCTGTCTCTTTTGCTAACAACAATGCTTTCTGTCTTCTTACAGCTAATGGTTAGTTTCTTTCTTTGGAATTACATATGGAATAAAATGTGGGTATTTTTAAGTTTAGTGTTTCAAACTATTTCTACATACCAAGCACTTATCTAACTCCTTTATGCTTCCCTTAAATTAACAAAACAAAACAAAAAATTGGCTTTATATTCTGAGTCCTTGATAGTTAATTTTGTATTGTTTGTTAGAAAAAATTGCTTGGAATGCTAACACAAAATAAAATGAAAAAAGTATGAAACTAACTAAAGCAGTGATACTGGCTGAGAATTATTTCCATCCAATATGAAGGAAGGAAAATGTGTAAAAACGGATATTTTTGCATTAAATAATCCATAGAGGTTGATATTATGCCACTAAACAAAATCAACCAACTATATATATATATAGTAAGATAATGAAGGGCTTGGCAATCTGTGTGGATAATTCCAAAGAGGATGTGATCTAGTTGTAACTATATATATATATATATATCTCCATCTGTGTATTTTTCTTCATGGAGGTTAAATTAAATTTTAGTTTTAATTTCTGGAAAAATAGTTGAAATAATGTGTATTTTATTTTTGGACAGTATTTTATTTTGCATGATTTCTGATGCATAACTTTTCATATCCAAAGAAGGGCTCATATCATGAAACTTAGGCTGTAGGAGTGCCATATATACTGCAGTACAGTTTAAGATTAAACCTTTTTTACTTTGTTTTCTTTCAGTTGGTTCCCGTGTTTTCTACATACAAACAAAATATCAGTTTATCAAGTGATGAAAAACTTAATTTATCTAAACCAAAGTCCCCATCAAAGCATCCTGTGCCTCTCCAAGCCGAGCCATTCATAAAGAGTGTTTCTAGTGAAACACTCCCCTCAAGAAATACACCTGCAACATCTTCCAACACTCAACCAAAACCTAGTGCCTTAAACACAAATGTCACAAAATCAGTTTCAGTGGCAAAACAAGAAACAGCTAAACATGACCAACAGCCAAAGAGGTATGTTTATTTTCTGTACTTTATTTTGCTTATGAAGTCTTTCAGATATGTTCTTATAATCAGTCCTCTCGTGTGTTTGTGTGAGAATTTTTACATTAAGAATTTAGACAACTTTTCAAAACTTAGCTGATTAGATGTAACATTATTCTAGGGAAGCAGTAGTTCCTGGAAGCACTGTGGGCAAACAAGCTAGTGATGGTTTGGACAATATTCTGCTGGGAAACACTGGAAGGGTCTTTGTGGAATGTAGTTTGTCACATACTACCCCTTGAAAATCATGATGACCAGGTACACATTTTCGTGGCAACTTTCTTTTATGATGTAATGGAATCTTTCAGTAAGACTATTTGCTCTGCTACACTGCATGAGGATGTTATGGGAATAGTTTGTGTTCTCCTGGCTACAAAACTGCTTAGATTAAGCATTTATGAAATGTGTTGGACCAACAAGTTTGTTTTGCAGAACTCCCACTATATAATTTACAGTAGTTAAATGATCTGCTGTTAATATCTTGGCAACAGATCCCAGAGGAAACTTTTAAAAGTCTTGCAAAATTCATGCCTGAGTGGATAAAAATTGTTTTGCCAGCACATAGAGGACCAACCTGTTATTAGACAGGTAGTCATACTGTTTTGGTTCTTTAGTGTAAACAGTGTAGATTTATATTTGAAATTGGTGCTTAATGACTATATTTGATTAGGAGGCATGGTGGAGTAATGGATAGCAGCTCAGATTGAGGAATCTGAGAGCTGAGTTCAAATTCCAATCAAATCCATTACATTCATTTACGTGCTAATACCCTTGGGAAAGGTATGAATCCTCTTCTTCTCCCCACAGCTATGGATAAACAGCAGGACAGACTGGGTTCTAAAGCCTTGGATGGCAACTGGTCAACTGCAGAAAGAAATGGAAACCTATTGTGGAGAAAAAAATCTGCCTTCACAGTCATGTATCAAAAGATACATGATCACCTATGCATCTATCATGCATGGCACATAACTGACTGAGTCTACAATCATAGAAACAGTCATCTTTTGGTGAGAGAGATTTTCCACTTTCTTTTGCTCCTACTTTGTTAGATATTAACTAATATTTTTACAATCACTAGTGAGTACCTAGTGATTAGTTACCTAGTGATTAATAGTGAGTACCTGCCAATAAAAAAAAAAAAATGAAAATGTACCAGCCATTGAATTGGATTTTTTTAAATAACTGTCACTGTTATGGAAAGAGTTTTGTTTGACATGTCTTTTGCTGAATCTCTTCTCTTTCATTTGTACTGACCTACTCAATGTAGGATAAGTCTTTTCTCTTTATTTCAGTAACTAATTTAAGTACATTTTGGCTTCTGAATAATGTGAAAGAAAATAATAAATCATTTACTACTGCCTCCATCTTTGCTGTTAATATCACAATGTTTTGACTGTTGTGCACTCATGACTTCTTTAGGTGCTTGTCAAATAACTTTCCTTTCAGGGAATTTTGAATTGAAACCTTTATTTAATCTTTGTGGATAGATTGTTCTTGTTCTGCTGTCCATATTAAAGGATATCTCATCTTGTTCTTATTTAGTAATACTCAGTTATTACTCAGCCCATTTCCACTGAGTCTTAGTCTGTACTACCTGAACCAGGAATTGAACTCACAATTACTGTCACCAAATTCAAAAATCAACACTTTAATGACCTAGGGACAATCCTGAACTAAGAACTTGAAGTTATAAACATAATGTTCTGCTGCTGCTGTCTACCCTGGAGAGTAAATAATTTAATAGTTTAGTTCAAAATTCACTAATGGCTACCTGGATTGATAGACACATGAAAAAAGCTGGAAGACGCAACAACCAGAATTTTGTGGTAATAATGAAAAGATGAGAACATTAGTCTGTAAATAATGATAACTCCTCATCCCAGAAATTCAGACAAAAAACAATAAATCTTCAGAATAATGTAAAAAGTAAAAGAAAAATATTAAAAATAGAAAAACTTGATCTTTGTTAAAGAAATGAATATTTTGGTTTTTATAATTATGGACAACACATTTTTTAAAAGTTCTTAATGTTTTTTATTTTTTTTGTATATTCACTCGATTTCATCTGTAAAAAAAAAAAGTAAAAAGAAAAGTTATATTTGTTTATGCACAAGTCTGACAAGACAATTGTGGAAGTATACAATAGAGAATAAATTCACAATTTTTTCCTCAGATGAATGGATTGTCTATTCTTACCAAAGGATAATCAACTTAGAAAAAAAGAAATACAAAAATATTACCATTTCTTTGAGGCTTGAATTTAACATAAATATATGAACCATAAATATTCATTACCACTTCACAACTATTTACACAAAATAAACTATATTGTCTTTTATGAATAATTTTACCTACTGATCTAATTGAACTAATCTCCTTATGTTGGTACCTTCATTGTACCTTCTGTCCTTCCATTGTCTGTTGTATTTGGTAACTAAGACATGAACACTAATCCAGATAGATTAGTGTATAATATTGTCATCTCAGAAATTCAGCCAAAATTATTGTTATGGTAATTTACTCACACGCATAAACTCTCCCAGCTATAAATAGGAGCAGGTATTGCCTTTTGGAGAGGGAAGTTTCCAGCAATCAGCTCTGACAGTCGGACCGAACATTCTTGTTGTAACACTCTCGTTTGTATATGTTTGTATTACTGTTTCTGTTAATATATTTGTTTAACTCCATTCCTCTCTTTGTGTCTTTATTTCTGGCCCTAACAAGGCCATAACAATTATCTTTTCTGAAGTTTTGAGAAAATTCAAGATATTCATTTTAGAATAATTTATATAATTTATTGTATTTACTGTTATTAAGCTACTTAAAAATGATTTATGAACATGCTTGATCTAATAAATTCAGACAACTTGGCAATAAGGTTGTTTTTTTCCATTATCCTCCTATATGGCAGTGAAAAATTTCTTTACAAATGAAAATAAAACTTAAAGAAAGTGAGAGAGATGTATTTCTACAGAAGGATGTAGAGAATACTATTTGCTGAACTTGTGAGCAATGAGGTGGTTTTAAGGAAAAAGGGAACAAAAAGGACATTTTTATTATCAGAAAGAGACGTTTAAAATTTCTAGGGCACATAATAAGGAAGGAAGGCTTGGAGAATTTAACATTCACATGACATATGAAAGACAAGTGGAGCATAAGGAAACTGAATAATCTAACTGATAACTAATAAATGCAGGACTGGGAAGGATGGCAAGGGAGGGATGTTACTTAGGGTTACAAAGGACAGGAAGCTGTGGAGAGCAATGATCTTCAATGTCATGAAGTGATACAGCATATAAAAAAAAGAAAAAAATAATATGCATATAATCTCAAAAATAAATAAACGCTTATTTAAAGCTAATATATGATTTCTTGTATTGATATATAAATTATTTTGTGTTTTATTCATAAACTATAAAGACATAAACTTTTTAAGGATCCTGCTTGCTTTTATACAAACTTAAATATTCAAAATATTTTGGCGAATTTTCTGTTTGACGGAAAGAATTTTCTAACAAATGCAAATTTTATATCTTTAAAATTGTTTCTTGTTTATGCATAAACATTCACTTCTATATGCATAACAAATGAATTAAACTCATATATATATATATATATATATATATATATATATATATATATATGTGATTTCATATATAATATATTGTAATGTTTTATTACAGTACTGCATCTGAAATACCTGTAACAAAACAGTCTACCAATTCCATCATTGTGAATACGCGGCAGGTGAGATCTTACAGAAACAAGAAGCATTGAATTATTTAGAAAATTAAATGTTACTGTATTCATATCATATTTAATTTTGGTTGCATAAGTTAGATCAGAAGAACATTACATTTTTACTTTGTCTTTATTTTTTGTCCTCATCTAATTTTATCTTGTTTTTTAAATATTTAACCCATTTAAATTTTATCTCAAATAAAATGTTAAATGTTGCTGAATCTGAAATTTATTCCAGTGTAATTTTTAAATGCAATTAAATTTAAAAAAGAAAATTTCATTTTAAAAAAAAAGTGGGGCACTCATATAAAAATGTTTACATTTATTTGGGGAAAAAGTAATTTTCTTATCAAATAAAAAAGTAATTAATTTTAAACCATATAAGTGTTTAAGCTTGAATAAAAAAAAAAAAAAAAATTCAGGTTGCTATAAATGCTTTTTAAGTTTTCAAGGATTCCATAAAGGTTATATGAAAATGATCAGTAATTTATATGTGATATTTGGATTTCAAACAATAAGTATCAAATTATGTGACAGATTTTTCTTTCTCTTACTTTGTGCTTTTATTATGAATTTATCATAGTATGAACTTTCTTAAAATTCAATGATGAAAATGTTAGCATCTTTAGAAATTTTGCAACCTTATGAATTTTTTCTCTAATGCCATAAAATCTGGATTAATATAATTTTAACTTGAAGGTTTCTTTTTGCACTTAACAATTTCAGAGAGGAAATCCAATTCTAAAAGGCATTCGAAATGTCCCCTGGGAATTTGGCAACATTGTTCCTGATTATGAAATGGGTAAAGCATCTTGTGCTCTATTCTTGAGGTAAGATGCCTTTTGTATTGATATTTATTAGTTTTGTGATGCCAATGAACACTCATTGCCACTTTTGTAATGTCAACAAATACTCGTTGTCACTTTCGTAATGATTGTTGTAGTAGAAACTTTGTAATTGTAGATACAATTATAGTAAGCCTTTGAAATAACATTCACACTAATAGTACTTGCTCAATAATACTCTATCAAATAGTAATCCGTATTGATCTGAATAGAAAATAGTGTAGAGAAGAGAATAGAGAATAGCAAGCCAAATTGTGATAGAGGAGAAATAGTGATCCAAATATTAATAGAGGATAGACTAGAAAATTCAGATCAGTTGGACATCACATGACTTCCTAATTATGCATTTCCTCTATGATCACATAGTCTACTTAATTCAATAATGGGATCACTTGTGTTTGCTCACTGGCAATATATGTTCAAACTCAAATATTGGCAGCAACACTTTATTCCTATATAACTTTTTGTATATTCCTCTCAATTTAGAAACTTGAAAAGAAAAAATAGTTTTTATTCTTTTAAACTGGAATCCATCTTCCATGAGAAAAAAATCATTATTCATTATGAAACTTGATTATTTTATGCTTTACTATAATTTTTATCCATTTTTTTCCCTTTTTAAAATTGTTAATCCATTTGCTCATTCTTTTCTTATCTATGTTCAATATTTTTTTTATTTCAATTTTAAAGTCATCTGCATCAAGACAACTATCAAATGTGAAGTGTTCATCCATAAAATGTAGTAGCTTCATATGCCAGCAAATCTGGTCTTTAGATTGACTGTTGTTCTCATTGTGTGTGGCTATGAAAGTGCATAACGAAACAGTTAAAATTTTGTGTCAGCCATATTGTCTCTCATGAGAACCTGACAAATTTGTGTATTTAATGAATTACTTTTTACTATGATTTTCAAAAAACTCTTTTTACTTGAATGTTAATGAATAATAACTACTCTCCAAAAGCACTACTCAACTTTTTAAATTAAAAATTTTAATATTCAGGATTGAAAAATAAATAAGCAATACAAAAAATATAATTTAGTTTATTAATTCAGTCAGAGGTCATTTAAAAATGTAAAACTTTGTCTTGTGGGGTAACCATCTGTAATAAAATGAATTAATTAAAAATATCTTAAACACTTTGACAGTCAATATTTTAACCATGTTACAGATTTTTCTACTGCCTGTCTCGTTCCTTTCTTAGTAATTGTATAGTAAATGAGAAGTGGTTTCCAAATTTGTATGAGTTCAGTTTTTTATGACCATAACAGTTTTGTTATTAAACTAAATTGCAAAAATATGGCTATTGTTACTGAATAAAAGTTGGTTTTAAGTTAAATTAAGCAATATATCAATTTTTAAGTTTTCCTGATTTATTTCCCCAGCATTTGTTCTTTTTATCTTAAGAAATTGTCATTTCTAAAAGCAAAAAGTATTGTAACATATATTCATCTTTGTTGTTACAATGTTTCAGCTGTTGTGCCCTCTGGCCTTCCTCAGGTGTATATCAATTTGGGTAACATACAAAGAATTTTAAACTGAATCCTTTACTGTTCATGTCCCACTGTCTAGTTCTTATTTTTATTTAGTACCGTTCAGTTATTGCTCTCCTATTCTTACACAATGCCCAAGCCATGGATTGATCTCACAACCACTATATCTCCAAATTCACAAACCAACACTTTTATCCACTAGGCCATTGGACAGTTTGCTAGAGTGAACTTAAATCTAACCTAGGTGCTGATTAGGTTGCTGCTACTGCTGCTGGCTATCATCTTCCGATTGCTGCTGCTACATACTTGCTGTCACTTGTCTTTCTTACTTTATTAGCAGCTCCCATATTGTATTTATTTCTATGCTAGGAGGTTCTCATAGCCTAGCATATGCACTGATTCTTTCAAATGTTTAACTCCCCAGTGTTCTTCCTTGTCCAGTATTTTCACTTCATTCCACAGAAGCTGGTGATTACCCCTTTCTATACATTGTCAGCCACGCCCGATTTCATTATCTTACCTCTCACTACAGTGTTTCAATTTTCCTCCAGCCTTACTTTTAGGAGTTGGCTTGTTTCACCTTTATATTCTCTGCAACAACGGCGAGGTATCAGATCCAGTATTAAAAATAAAAATTAAAATAGATTCTTACCTATGACCCATTAATTGATTATTCATTATGTGATGACATTTAAAAATTTGTATGCCCTATAAATTTTGATAACATGGAAAATACCCTCTATAGATACAACTTCACTGTTTATAAATAATTTTGTTTTGTAACTATGAACAAAATCCTTAACTGTTTATGTAGTGACACTGGCAAATTAATATGCCTAATTTGCATAAGTGCAAGAGAAAGCCTATATAACTCGTCACTGAGAATAACGTGGTATGAAGACAAGTGTTGCGGATGTGTGTGATGTGTGTTGGAGAGGAATTATCAGAAGGTTTGAATTATCAGTGTTCAATAATCTTCCATCCACAACAATTAATACAAGATAGAGAATAATAAAGATTCATAAACATTTTGTTTCAAAACATAACAATTGAATTTATTCATATTTGATATACATGCAAACTGAAAAGGTAGGACAGAGTCGTGTCCCTTTGATTAGGTAATAGTTGTACCTGAGTTCATATTAAAAGGAAGTAATATTAAACTGTAATTTAGAAGAATAAAGTTTCTTTAGCTTTTTTTTTTTTTTTTAAGCATTTCACCCCAAGCAAGGCGAGAAGCCACTAGGACGCAGGGGGTTACAGAAAATTTGGAGCAAGATCAGATAGGAGTGATAGAAGAAAGGATGAGGAGAAGGGTAGTGGATAGATCAAGGCAACTGGAGATGTCAATTGACATTACATTTGAATAGCTGGAGATTATAGCTCTCAGGGAAACTGGAATAGGGAAGGGAGTTCCACAGGCGAGAGGTGCGAGACATTAGTTTTATTGGAGTAGAAGAGATAGCTACATTTCGGAGTTTCGACAGTGAAAGGGTGAGAGCGGGACGCCAGCCTTAGAGGGCACTTGAACTCATGAAGTCTGGGAACCAGCGAATGCAGCTCCTCGGAGCAATTGCCATGAAAGTATTTGTAAAACAGACAGAGAGAGGCGACAGCGCGTCTGTGAGAAAGTGACTGTAGACAGGAATGTCAAACAATCGACCTGTAATGCCATAACCCTGGAGCTTGCGAAGAAGGCCGGCATGCCAAACCCTATCAAACGCTTTGGAGATGTCTAGGGCCATGGCACAAGCTTCCCCGTTATTTTGAAGAGTTTGGTAGACAGTTTCAGTGATGGCCGTAAGCACATCAGCTGTAGATTGGGCAAAGTGGAAGCCATATTGCTTGTCTGAGAGCAGATCATGGGATGTGAGGTGGTTAACCACTTCGGTATTGATTAGGGCTTCGAAGACTTTGCCAAAGAGGGGTAGGAGACTGATAGGACGGTAGTTAGAAGGGTCAGAGGGGTCGCCAGAGTTCTTGAAGACAGGAACAATCGAAGAGGACTTCAAGCAGTCAGGAAAACAAGATTCCTTGAGGCAGTAGTTATATAGTTTAGAGAGGGTGGGCGCCAGTTCAGGTGCGCATTTCTTCAAGACAATGGCTGGTATCCCATCTCCACCACTAGCCTTGTTGGGGTCTAAATTGGAGATAATGCCCAATACCAAAGACGGGGTTACTCAATAGGGCCTTAGTTCTAAGAGGAAAGTCGGGTATGGGTACACCAGAAGAGTCGAGCGTTGAGGTGAATGAAAATTTATGAGCAAAGCATTCAGCCTTGTCGACAGAGGAGGTCAGGACTTTGAACTGGTTGAACAAAGAAGGTGTAGAGGGTTTGCATTTTATCAGTATGCTCTTGTAGAGATGCCAATAATCTTTGGAGCCAAATTTGCGAGATGCAATACGCCCCTTTATCCAAGCAGCAAATAGTGACTTAGCATCGTTGAGGACACGTTTACACTTGTTACGGGCAGAGGCAAAGAGACGTCTATTTCAGTCAGACATGTTGCTACGAGATAGCTGAAAAAAGTGGTTCCTATGGGCGATGGCGGCTGAGCAAGCAGCAGAGAACCAGGGGGAGGAGTGCGACATGACCCTATATTTCCTTGAGGGGATGAAAGCGTCGATTCCAGCTTTAACCCAGGATGAGACCTCAGAAGCACATTCTTGGATGGGGTGCGTAAAGACAACATCCCAGGGGACATCGCGGAGGAAATCACGGAACGCGTCCCAGTCAGCTTGTTGATAATAGAACAAAGTTCTAGTGGTAGGAGGTTCTTTGCAGGAGGTGGAATTGAAGGAGATGTTAACAGATACTACTGCATGATCAGAGTTACCAAGAGGGCAGAGTTGCATGGCGCTACAGGACTCTGGGATGGAGGTAAAACACAGATTGAGAAGAGAGGCTTTACCTTCCCGGTTGAAGGCAAAACGAGTGGGAATGTTAACTATCTGCATGAGGGATTGAGAGACTGAAAAATTGAGCGTTTGAATCTGGTCAGTAGTAGCATTCTTAAGCCACTTCGTATGATGGGCGTTATAGTCGCCAAACACAAATATGTGAGCAAACGGGTGGAGGGAGAAAGCCTTGTCTATGCTGTCAGAAATGCTGCTCCCAAGTATCCCACAGTCTTGAGAGGATGGAGAGCGGTAAAGGAAGAAGAGATAGCGTACCGCATTGAGAAGAGATAGTCGGAGACACATGTATGACTGGTCTGGCGATTCGAGAGACAACTCTCTGGCCAAAGGGAGATGGTCCTTGACGTAGACACCAAGGCCATGCATGTGGGTTAGAGAGTCTTTTCTGAGGAGAGGAAGGTAGCCTGGGATCGAGAGATCAGAGGAAGGGATAAACATGACAAGGTTGGTCTCACAGAGAGCCAGTATATCCAGGCAGTTTGCAGTGAGGAAAGATTCCATACTGCAGAAGTTTGTTCTAATGCCACGGTTGTTGGAGAACGAAATGTTGAAGGGTTTAGGTGATTTTTGAGTA